TTGACAGCACTATTTTTGACTCATAATCTTCACTGCATGACGAGCATGACCAGAATTATGCATTGTTTTGCAGTGGCTAAATGCATTTCATAATAAAATAACCCAGGGAAGAAAAAGCTCAGGTTTTCTGAAGAGCACACCTCTTCATGCCGTTTTCTCGTATGAACTTGGACAGACGGTAAACGGCCCAGTTGTTCAGCTGTTTAGATGTCATTCCACAGCCGTTATCCATCACCACAACAGCAGGTCCTCCCTGAGACTCATCAAACAGCTGGAAAACGCAGAGAGAGAACAACACATCCAGTTCACGGAGACTAATAATTGGTCAATAAGTGTCACAAAAACTACTGCTTGCCCATGACAACGCACTGAATGCATTTGTTTTTCCCAGATTTCCCAGATGACTATAAAATGTGTGATATTTTCATATTGCAAAAGGAAAATGCATGCAAGCATGACCAGCATGACCAGCATCAAACCATGAGCTAACTAGACAAATAACATTTTAGACATCATAACCACACTCCTTTATAAGATACAGTTTGATTTGGCCAAAATCTAAAAACTGCAAGCATACCTTGCAAAAAAGAAACCTTGCTCAATGAAAAGATGTCAAAGGGAAATGATCATTTTATATATAACTATCCCATAAAATTACAAAAATAGTTCAATCTAATTATATATATGACGTAATTCATCTCAATATTTATATGCTTGTAGGGCTGATTATAAACTAAAAAAAAAAAATAAAAAAAAAATTGATTAATATTTTTTGGTCAAATTGTCATTTGGCTAACATTATGCTTTTTAACTTAAGTGTGCAATAAACATAAGGCATAGAGCATCTAACATGTAAATGCCTCAGACCTTCCGTCTGTAATGTTTAGTTTGTATAAATGCTATTCTTTTAATTCAGAAAAAAAATCCAGAAAAGATGCATCATGGTTTCCACAAAAATATTATGCAGCAAAAACTGTTGTTTTTTGTTTGGTTTACATAATTTTTTAAAGAAATGTTTCTTGAGCAGTTCTATTTCAAATAAATGCTATTCTTTTAATTCAGAAAAAAAATCCAGAAAAGATGCATCATGGTTTCCACAAAAATGTTATGCAGCAAAAACGGTTGTGTTTGGTTTACATAATTTTTTAAAGAAATGTTTCTTGAGAAGCAATGATTTCTGAAGGACCATGTGACACTGAAGACTGGAGTAATGATGCTGGAAATTCAGTTTTGATCACAGCAATAAATTACATTTTAAAATAGTTTACAATAGAAAAGTTATTTTAAATTGTAATATTTCACAATATTATTTTTCAAGGTATTTTTGATCACTCAATACTGGACATCTGCAGTCACACTGTCAATGTAAGTCTACCTTTGTCTGTTTGTTTGTTTATTTATTCATTCATTCATTCTTTATAACGCCATGCCAGCATCAAGGCTATTTTCATGGTGATCTCTGAATAAATTATACAAGGTATACAATTAACAAAAGGTTATAAAAGACATTTCAGATGTACACTAGACAAAAATTCTAAAACACATTCAGGTGATACATTTTGAAATAAATCAGTCAGACACACCAATAAAACCGGTGTCTATTTACATTGAAACATATTTTATTGGATTGTACTGTTTTTATAGTCATTTTAGTTCGGCAAGTGAGGCATGATGGTGGTTCTTCACCTTTTAATAAATGTGACCCTGGACCACAAAACCCGTCATAAGGGTCAATTTTTGCGAAATTGAGATTTATACATCATCTGAAAGCTGAATAAATTGGCCGAGATTATTATTTGGCCGAGATACAACTATTTGAATATCTGGAATCTGAGGGTGCAAAAAAAACTAAATATTGAGATAATGCATATTACTAATCAAAAGTTAAGTTTTGATATATTTACAGTAGGACATTTACAAAATATCTTTATGGACGTTGATATTCTAATGATTTTTGGCATAAAAGGAAAATCTATCATTTTGACCCATACAATGTATTGTTGGCTATTGCTACAAATATACCCCAGCGACTTAAGACTGCTTTTGTGCTCCAGGGTCACATATATATGCATATATATCAATGACATTGAGACAGTTCACAAGGGTTTGTAATAAAGACAAGGTTGAATTCTCACCAGTCTGATTTCAATTCTCCTGATTCCCGTGTTTCTTGCTGTGGCTGACAGCGCGTTATCGATGAGCTCAGCGAAGGCATAGGCTGCAACACAACAGAAAGAGAAACTGGCATCGTGCTCAAGCGCGGCAGCATGGCAGAGGTGAGCGTGCAAACTTACGCAGCGCCTTCTGTCCTTCACTAGCGTAGTATGCAAATTAAAAAAATATATATAATTACTTTTTTGTTTTGAAATAAAAAAATATCGAAACAAAAACAAAACGAAAATAGATGAGCAAATGAATATAATACTACATTTTAAAAACGTTCAGAGTTCCTACTGTAAAAAAAAAAAAGAGCACTACTGTTTTTACATTTTTCAAATGTAAAACTGTAAACAATAAAATACAGCACAGAACATAGATACATAAAGTTAAAATTTTTTACTTTTTTACAATTTTAAATCACAATAAAAATATACTTAAAAACTAACAAAGCGACCAAAAAAATAAAAACGACACAATGAAATCAGACAAGTAAATACAAGCCATATTTAATTTTTCAAAATAAAAGTTTTGAGCTCTTACTGTAAAGTTCTGCGTCGATCTCTCCTCGGTCCGTCGTGCTGATAACAAAAGTCTCGTTTGTCGACAGTGAAAACTCCTAAAATGAAAATAAACCCATATGGTTTACCATACAGATGTTATTTTACCCTGGTAAACAGGGCGGCGTTACCTGCAGAGATGCAAACAGGTAAAGCACATGCTCCACACGGAATTTCTTTTAAAGATATTTGTTTTACATGCTCATTTGTAGTTACTTTAAGGCATTTTTTTAAATATTTTTTATTACTTTTATTCTTATATGTCCAAAACTGTAATTTTTCACACACACACACACACAAAACATCTTGTTGCAACATTTTACAAAAATCAAGATTGAATAAATGTGACCCTGCAGCACAAAAGCAGTCTTAAGTCGCTGGGGTATATTTGTAGCAATAGTCAAAAATACACTGTATGGGTCAAAATTATCCATTTTTCTTTTATGCCAAAAATCATTAGGATATTAAGTAAAGATCATGTTCCATGAAGATATTTTGTAAATGTCCTACCGTAAATATATCAAAACTTAATTTTTGATTAGTAATATGCATTGCTAAGAACTTCATTTGGACAACTTTAAAGATGATTTTCTCAATATTTTGATTTTTTTGCACCCTCAGATTCCAGATTTTCAAATAGTTGTATCTCAGCCAAATATTGTCCGATCCTAACAAACAATACATCAATGGAAAGCTTATTTATTCAGCCCTTATGACGGGTTTTGTGGTCCAGGGTCACATATTTTGGTCAAAATCCCATGTTATAACTCTCTTCACCGTTCCCACATCTCAGACCTCAAATACATCAAAAACTATGTCTAAAAGGGTAGTATTTTAAGTAAAGAGTAAAGAAAATACTATAAACAACTTTATTTACCCTTGCAAGACCCCCTCATAAAAACACTTTCTCATTGGATCTAAGCAAATCTCATAGGTGACGTATTTTGATCTTAAAAAAGTGAGTCGTTATTGAAAAATGAGGAGTTTGCATCTATGCACCGGTCTCAGAGATGTTATCTTACCCTGCACTGATTCTGGAGAAATGGGACAAAACAGGGTGCAAAACTGAAAAAATAAAACCTTGTACTCAGACAAATGAAACTACATTTATGTGACGTATATGTACTAAGCTACTGAGCTATGCTTTGATACAACCTCCCAGCTTTTCTCTTTTTGTATCAAAATGTGCTTTTTACCTTGGACTGTGTAATAATATAATTTCAACTTTATCTTTAACAGCAACCAAGACGTCTTTAACATTTCAAAACACATTCTCATGTAAGCAGACAGATTACACTTTCACATGTGACCAACAATTCCACAACAAATATAAAATACCATAATGAAATATTATCAAAATATTCAACTGACGGAGGTGACAGAAGTGACGGAGTTGACGAAAACCTGAATTTGTAGTCATTTTAACTTCTGTATTAAAAGAAGCACATCAAACAGTGAGTATGTTATTGTTTATAAAGCTTTTATCAAGAGTCACATTTAAGTATTTTGATATATCATTGGAACACAAACTCTTATGGTGGTGACATCTGACGGTGTTGACAAATTTGGTTCATGTAGTAGCCATTTCTGTTGATGCTAGATGCTAAGAGAACCTGCTTCAGGAGAATATAATGATCTAAATATTTCAAATAATTTCCTCGGAAATTGGAAGATGGGGTTGACATATCATGGTTGAGACAGGAAATATTAACATTAGGATTTAAAATGTTCTAAAACCATAAAACTGACCAGAGCCTGTCTGACACTGATGTACTCTGCAGAGGTGAATGTGGCAAGGGGGTCCTTTAGAGCAGTGGTTCTCAAACTGGGGTACGCGTACCCCTGGGGGTACGTGAGACGACGTGGGGGGTACGCGAACAAAATTCTGAGTTTTGGCATTCATTTAATACCCCAACTTAAAGCAACATTAAAACCGAACGTATTTCTGACAAGCAAAATGCCGCTTCTAATGTAAAAACAGGAAAATTGGGGGTGCCGTAAACGGTCAAATACATGATATCCAATCAGCTTACCTCATTTTTTGCGGTCAAAACTGACTGCATCCACACAATCAGAGTGCATGTGATAGGATTCCCGCTGAATATGCTGCTTTAGCAAATCGCGCTGCTGTTCAATGTATCTTTA